TGGTCAAGCTTGTTTCTGTAAAGGCACAAACAAACATCAAGTAAGCAAGCTTCTTTCTTTTTTGTTTGCTCTCGCGGTGAGGCAAACTTTCTCTTTGTTTCGAAGAGCTTGGCTCCTTCCGTTATTTAGGCCGTGTGTGTAGGCTTAGTGAAAGTCTTTCTTAGGCCCAAAGCATTCTTCTTTCTCCAGTCGCTGCCATCTTTGAAGTCGAAGCCTAAACTCAACACAATAATTTAAATTTTATGTACCCCAAAATTTAGAAACTTGAAGGTTCAATCCCTAATGCCTAAAGTTTGTTCGCTTTTCTTTTCCCTTAGACTATAGTCTTCGCGAAGCTTCTTGCTACCGTCCACCTGGTACTGAGGTACAGGACAGACGTCGCCGCCACAGCAACAAGACGAAGGTTCCGGACAATGCCCTTCCTGTTGTTGCACGCGGCCTAATGAGAGCCATATAATTTTGCTGATAGTTTTGGGTAGGCATTTTAATCTCTAATTTGTCTTTTAGTTATTTATTTGTATTGGGATAGTGTTGATTAGAACAAAATTAAAATTCCACTAAACCGGTTCATCCGAAACAATGACTGCTGATGGGCCGGTGCAGCGAAACGTGAGTGGTTGAGAGTATCAAAGGTGAGGTGGGTACTTTGGATGGGGCGGTGGTGAATGGTCGGTTCGCTCACTCACGAGTCACGCTAAGTCCATTTTCTCACCATACTCACAATAATCATGTGATATTGACCTCTCCTCCTCCTCCATTCCGGCGGCTGCAAAAGATCATGGGACACGTGTCACCCCATCAACGGTTCAAATTATCCGCATCATCATCTAGCTTAATTAGTATAATCAGTATATGGGTGTCATAATTTTGTTTGAGTATCGAGTTTATAGTAAATCTCGAATATGTGTAATTACATGTAATTCATATGTATTTGAAATTTTTTTTGGAGTGTATTTATGTACTTGCAAAAATTTAAACTTAGGACTTTTATTAACAAACATATACACTTTCAGAAGACTTACTCTTTTATCGAGTATAAGGTCTTAAGATAACTTGCATATTAGTGTTAAAAGTTAAAAATTAGAATGTTTGAGTATATATATTGTCTCATATTCGCTCTATACCATCGATGACGAGCGATTTGTCATAGTTTTACACAACCTTACATGAATATGCGAGTATAAAAACATGCTATTAACAATTTGGTCTAGTCATTGCTAGGACTCTAAATCTCCTAAACAGTAGTTTAGATTATCCTTGAAGTTTATCGATCATAATAGAGCATTATAGAGCTTATTGGAATTGTCTTTAGAGAACTCGAATCAGACAGAAAAAAATGTAGGGTCACCTAAAAGAAGAGAAAAGAAAACTTGTGAGCCCTTTGGACGGCCAACCTAAAGTTTAATAATACCACTTCCACTCTCATTCAACTCTCCATATAAACCCCCAAACCCCTCCACTCTTCCCCATCACAAACACCAAACTCACTTCACTTTCATCTCTCTCTCTCTCTCTCTCTCTCTCTCTCTCTCTCTCTACCTAAGCTAAGAGCTAGCTAGCTACCCAATTAGCCATGGCCAAAGACAGTGAAGTTGGTGGAGGGCATAATAGATTCTCAGGAAAAGACTACCAGGACCCTCCTCCAGCACCATTGATTGATGCAGAGGAGCTTGGCCAGTGGTCTTTTTACAGAGCCATTATAGCTGAGTTCATAGCTACCCTCTTGTTCTTGTACATCACTGTGCTCACAGTGATTGGATACAAGAGCCAATCTGATGGAGACCAATGTGGTGGTGTTGGCATTCTTGGCATTGCTTGGGCCTTTGGTGGCATGATCTTTGTCCTTGTTTACTGCACCGCTGGCATCTCTGGTGAGTTTTCATATATTGACGTAGATTACCAATTCACTTAGATTATGACACGTGTATATTTCTTAATACTATAAACTATGTGTTATAATTTGGGTAGATTAGTAACACCGGGTCAGTGACACGCAAAAATTTCTCCAAATTAGCATTTAGCATATGGTTTACTAATGTGAGCATTTATGTATGCAGGAGGGCACATAAACCCTGCTGTCACATTTGGGCTGTTTTTGGCTAGGAAGGTGTCACTTGTCAGAGCCATATTGTACATGGTGGCTCAGTCCTTGGGAGCCATATGTGGTGTTGGGCTTGTGAAAGCTTTCCAAAAGGCTTACTTTACCAAGTATGGTGGAGGGGCCAATGGACTTGCTGATGGGTACAGCCAAGGCACTGGTTTGGCTGCTGAGATTATTGGCACCTTTGTTCTTGTCTACACTGTCTTCTCTGCCACCGATCCCAAGAGAAATGCAAGGGATTCACACGTCCCAGTAAGTACGATAAATACTTTTAAGAAAATCTAAATCCAATTTTAGTTGAAGAAAATTGCATTTTAATTTCTTAATCTCCGTTTATGTTTGGTTAATTAAAGGTTTTGGCACCACTGCCAATTGGGTTTGCTGTGTTTATTGTGCACCTTGCCACAATCCCAATCACTGGCACTGGCATAAACCCAGCAAGAAGCCTTGGAGCTGCAGTGATCTACGACAATGACAAGGCTTGGGATGACCAAGTATGCACCTTTGACCTTTTTACCCTTTTAATTTCACATATAAAAAAACTTGCTTGACCAGGAAACTAACTTACAATTTTTTGTTTTTGTGATTTTTTGTTTAATCTAGTGGATCTTCTGGGTTGGGCCATTCATTGGTGCTGCCATTGCTGCCTTCTATCACCAATACATACTGAGAGCAGGAGCTGTTAAAGCTCTTGGCTCTTTCAGGAGCTCCTCCAACATATAATTTCTCAGAGGATTGGTTGTGTTTTCTGAATGGAAGCTTGGATTTTGTAAATCTGTGTGTACAAGGCACTCATTTTAAATGTGCCTCAATGTTGCTTTCTGCTCTGTTTTTACAAAATTTCAGTTTGGTTATTGTGTCATCAAGAAGTTTTAATTATGAGCGATTACTTTGTTGTGAATTGTGATGGAAAACTTTAGTACTTGTTCCATACGTAAGAAACGAAATTATGAAACCCTCACTCGAGCGCTAAATCTTAAACCCTAAACTATAAACTTTTTGTTAACCGTAAAGCGTATTTCGGTCTCATAGTACCTTGCATCTGATTTGCCAGATGGAAAATTAGAGGTAACGCAACAGCAAGCGGAATCAACATATGTGGCAAACAGTTGTTTGTTGAGGTTCTAAGAGATGGTTAAAAATGATGAGGGGGATTTATGCTTCTTGTACTATTTCCTTGTGTTGTATTGTACTGCTTTCATTTTTTGTCACGATTAAAAGGTTCATATCAATTCATACACATCATTTCAACTTCTCTTTCCTGGAAATTTCTCTTAATGGGTTAATGCCATGACTGATACTTATGGTTAATGCCATGCCTTAATTAGCCTTCACAGTGCATTAATTATCCAAATTAAGCATTAAAAACTGGAAAAGGAATATTTTCTTTTTCGTTTTCTTTCAAATTATTAAGATTGAAGAGAAAATTGATCCCATGATTTGCCAACAATTAATGCAATTAACTTGTCATAATTGCAACCTGAATCTCTTCTTTGATCACCTCTATATATAAACAAAGAGCCCTCCTCCAGAATCCACACCACTCAGCAGCAGAATTTCACATTCTGAATCTTACAAAACAAAAAAACCTTAACCATGGCATCGGCTGAGCTCTCCAAGCTATGTATCTGCATTGTCAAGTTCCTCTCTTTGGCAATACATGCTATGTCTTCACAAACGCAATCCCAACCCACAATCACAAACGACGTCATGCCTACAGATGAGCAGCTAATTTCCCTAGCTGCTTCATATCCATCTCCATCTCCTTACCCTGAAAACCCGGCTTCCGAAAGCGGAGGCTATGTGGTCACTTCACCAGAACCAGATTCATACAAACCTCCACCACCACCACCACAAGAACCTTACTTTGAAGCCTTGTCCCCTGAAACTCAAGATGACCAGCTTCTCCCTCCAGACTACTCTCCCTCCCCTGCACCTTCCCTCCAAGAATACTTGGGTGCTTCTGATCAAATCACAGACTACCCTTCTCCTCCTCCTCCTCCATACATTGAGGTTGAAGCTCCTGAAGGTTACTATGAGACTTACAGTCCAGTTCAATCTCCAGCACCTGCACACTCTTCAAAGCCGGGCTCTAATGCGTTGCCCTTCAACTACAAAGCTGACTACGAGAGTGAGTTTGATGCACAAGTTTTTAATGATTCAGATGAGAGTAAGAACAGAGAAACAATGGTGGGTTTTGTTCTTGGGGCTGTTTGCTTGGTTGGGTTGGCAGGTCTTGTGTACAAGAAGGAGAAGAAATACAGTAAGGCAAAAGCAGAGTATGAGTATGAATTGACTAAGAGAGAGGATGCTTGAGCTTCTGGCTAGCTTGGTCTCCTATGCACTTAGCTACATGCAACTTCCATAGAGGCTTAAATTATATAGTCTATAGTTGATCATCAAGTTTTGTAATTGAACACCTCCTCAACTACTTGTATTCGCATGTATTATTATCAATTGTTACATAATTTAATTTTTAATCTAAATCAAAGGTTTTTCATATATTAAGAATAGTCCATATACTATTCCACCGATTATCATTTTTCAAATTCTACCACTATCATTCTCATCTTCTATTCTGCACATCAATGTTATTCCAAAAGTTAAACTGTGTCTAATTTTTTCGTCAAAGTTAAGAGTAATACCGTCAAATTAAACAATTTTATAATTTTTTGTTAGCAAGAACAGATCTATCTTACCACAAATTAATTTTTAGTCACAGTACGTTTGGTTCTGTTCTTTAGATAATAAAAAAATTAAATTTGTGCGTGACACCAAAAATTTGAACTTTTTAATTCGCATGAGCTTGGACATGGAGATTAGATGATGAACACGTGTATAATGTGGATAAGTTCAGAAGTTCAATTCTATTGGGAATTTGGGGTAAAAAGACCTAAAAACCGTAAAGGGTATGTCCAAACGACACCGTTTACCTACCCGAGTCTTGGCCTGGTCTGGTACGGTCATCTCCGTTTATACATACACGAAAAATCTCTCGCATCTGTGCCCCCGCTTTTTTCTGAATCTTTCACTTCAACTTCTCAAACCGGCTCAAACTCTCTCTCTCTCTCTCCACTCTCCAAAGGTACTGACTTTACGTTGCTCTGTCTGTGCTTTCGTTTTGTGTGAATTATTTGGATCCAATTGTCTTCAATTTGTTTGTAATTATTATGATTATGCACGAAAATCTCTTGAATTATTATGAGGAATCTGAGAAACTCCGATCTGTTGGTGGTTACTTGAAACGAATCACCCAATTGATGTTACTGGTCTGAGTGTTTAAATCGGTTGCAAGATTCTTTGTGTTCATTGATTTTTCAGTTTAGGTTGGATCTCTGTATCCAAGTAGGAGATCTATTTAGTTTTATGCATGAATTGGGTAAATCAGATGCTAAAAAAGATAAGATTTTTCTGAGTACAATTGTTTCAATGCAAGCACCTGTTTTGGTGTGCCATTCATGGCTGGAATTTATGTTGTTGTTTCAGTGAGATTTTTGCTTTTTGCGTTTGGTTTAGTGTTATAATCAACTGTTGTATGTTCCAGAAAGTATGGCATCCAACAGGGGTCAAGGTGGAATTCAGCAATTGTTGGCTGCAGAACAAGAAGCTCAACACATTGTCAATGCTGCCAGAAGTGGTATTTTTTTCCTCTTAGATTTACTTTCGATTATCTGTTTGGTTCTGCATTTTATTCGCAAACTTGATGCATTTTGCAAACAGAAGGGACATTCTATTTGTTGCATTGTTTATGAGTTGGCCTGTTGTGAAGTTGTGTGGAAGGATGAATTCTTGATTTTAATCGGAGAAGTTCTATGCTTCCAACTTCCCTGTTGGAAGATATTTCTTGTTGTCCATGATGTTGTGTATCACGCATGGTGTTGTCAAAATATGAATCAAAAGCGTTATTTGGGCGAAATCATGTATGAATATGCAGTCCTAATACGTTTTTTTAAAGGATTATTAGATTGTACGCCAAAATTTAGCAGTTTGAGTTGCTTCCTAATTTATTTGGTGGTTGGTTTTCTGTTTTCTGTTGCTAGCAAAAATGGCTAGATTGAAACAAGCTAAAGATGAGGCTGCAAAGGAGATTGCTGAATACCGTGCCCAAATGGAGCTTGAGTTCCAGAAGAAAGTTGCAGCGGTATGTGTATTTTGGTGAAAGCTATGCATTGAATGTTCATTAGGTCTGGCATTCTAAGTTTTCCAAAGGCTTGGCCATGTCATTTTCATATGTGCCTTGCAATTTCTAGAAATTGAACATACCAATTATAAATTTCTCCCCCATAGTCTTTTTAATACTTTGAGCTGTCCCTAGACTTTTGTTGCGGATACATCTGTGCTAATTCTTCCCTTTTGCTCCTGTGTTTTCACACGGCCACCAAGCAGAGCAGTGGAGATTCAGGGGCTAATGTGAAGCGTCTGGAACTTGAAACCGAGCAGAAGATCAAGCACCTCTCGACAGAGGCTGCAAGGATTTCAAGTGATGTTGTGCAAATGCTTCTGAAGCAGGTGACGACGGTGAAGAATTAATCCCATTGATCGCACAAGTGTAATTCCAGACTCTTGCAAGTATTTTATTCTTTTTGCCTGATTCATCCTGGTCTTTAGACTTGTGGCGTTGTGGTTGTTGCTATCCGGGGAATTGGTTATTTTAGTATGTTGTGGATCACTTTGTTCAGCAAATAAGCTTATAATATGTATCATGTTCAGAAAACAATAATGTTGCAGAAATTGTTGGGCCTCGAGGAGTGAAATCCAATGTTTACAATTGTTAGTGGAATTCTATGTTATTATTTCGATTAGTGACTTCTAGATGCATGTTCCACCGGTTTGAACTTGTTTGGGATTTTTTTTTTTTTTTATAACCTTTATTATTGACAAAGGCGATAGAATATTAAGATCACATACACTACACGAATGTTTGGATTCGAATCCAAAACTCCAAATCACTACATTAGTGGGTCATTAGCTGTTCTGAAATTTTATTTCACATAATAACTCACGTAACTTTTTCTTTTCTTGAATAATTTCACCAAAGTTGTACTTTTCATCAAAAAATTCAGAACTTGTTTGAGCCCCAGTTTTTGAATTGAAGGGTTTGCTATATTTAACCTTCAAGCTGGCCTATATTTTTGGTATCTTTACGACAGGTTGAAAACAGATCCATCTAATCAAGACGTTATGGCTAATGCCATTGAAGAATGATATGTCGAATCCAACCCACTATCCCAACTCAATATGTAACTACTCTGAATTATTGCACCAGAAAAGGAATACCAATAAAGTAATGCTTCATAATTCTTTGTAGATAAAGAATATTTGATTATCCAATCACTTGGCTAAAACTATTGAGCTAGTGAAGTATATTTTCTACGACTTTGAGAGCAAAAAAAACTTTTCTCCCCACCCCAATCTTCTCTTCCATTTGCAAAAGAGAATGACGCTGAGGACTCAGTGTGACTAGATTTTTGGATTTTGAAAATGCTACAGTCAGTTTTGCGCGGAGGAGTGGAGCATTTTTATGAGTCTCGTTATAGAACCCACAATGATTAATAACTGAAAATCATCGCACGCGGCGACTGATGATAACACTCCTCTTTGAGTTTTCTTAAGAGATGCAGTAGCTAGGTGCTGGGAATATAGTCACTTTTTTCTTTCTTGTACTGCATTAGAAGCACATAGTTGATTATTAATTTAATACTCTGAATGAGATCTTGGCATTGTGTTAGAGTACACTTTAATCTTAATAAAGAACAACCCATGTAGACCATACAGAGATACAATCTTAACATACTGCAAAATGCAGACAAAGAAAATCTAAGATAAGGTTCAGGGGCATCATCTTCCACGGCAGATCACATGGAATGGATGGGTGCCAAAGAAGCAACTAGGTCCCATTCATGTTCACCAAGTAAGCTGCCCCCATTCTCCATGCGCTTTGATTATTTCTTGTATTTTATTATGGATCTTGCTGCTTGAAGACTGTCACAAAATGGGTCATGGCCTAGAATGGGGATAGAGACAATTGCACAGTTGACATGGTGGCATCATTGGCAGGACCCACCATTTCAACCTACGAAGAAAGATGTTATTTTCAGTCTCAAATCGTAACAGCACCAGCACCGCGAGTTGTTTGTAGTTCACATGTATTATGATATAGGTGGACAATAAATTTAAATTTGAATACATAAGTGATATTATGAATAGTCGCTTACGTACAACATGGTAAAACTCTAATTTCAATAGTGTTAAAAGACATCCATAAAACTTTTTATTTGAATTTATATGTGATGTTAATAACAATTGTATATGTGCACACATGAGTAACTATCAATTGTGAATATAATTAAAATCTACAATGTATAAAAATCTATAATTATTTATTTGCACGTGAATGACTGTCGAAACTATTGAATTGGATTTTTGGATAGAGCAGCAGATCGTTTCAAAGTCCCCACCTTACTGCTTACTGTACCAACAAGAATAAAGTGATTTTGTAACAATAGGATTTGGAGACAAACCCATTGGGATTGTTTTGACTGAAAAGGCAAGAGGACGCAAATAATGTAGGGACTTGAATAATGTGTTTTCGACCAGAGACATTAGGGCTGGGGAATTCCAAATAGAGGCCAGACATATCTGACCTAGCAATCACGTGATATAAGATCACAGTTGAGAATTTCTAGGACATCTTATTTGGCACCAAATGTACCAGCACAAATTACGCATACAAAAAGCTCCAAATTTTCTGTCCAAAATTTGAACCCTCACTAGGATAGGTTCATTAACACCCTTTTTTTAATTTTTAATATAAGCGATATTGGGGAAATAAGATTTTTCTCACACACTGCCAAAATATTATGACCGTTCGAACTTGAGATCATTGATCTACAAATCAAGACATTTTTCCACTCTGTTGGAAAATTGGCTTAACACCCTTTTTTTATTTTGTATTTATTTATCTTTTTTTTTTTTTTTTTTGGCCGAAACCCACTTTCATTGAAAGGGAAAGGAAAAACCATACACAGCACC